AAAAAAAAAAAAAAAAAAAAAAAAAAAAGGAAGGAATAAAATGCAAGGAAAACTGGAGAAACAGTAGACATATATGGGTGAAACGAAATAATACTAACAATATAAAACAACACACATTTTAATTGAGATGGAGTCTCACTATGTTGCCCAAGCTAACCAGGAACTCCTGGCCTCAAGCAATCCTTCCGCTGCTCCTCCTGCCTCAGCCTCCAGAGTAGATGGGATGACATGGCCAGGCACCATGCCCAGATACAAAGTAATAATAATAATAATTTTTTTTAATAAAAAAAATATGGAACGCTTCACGAATTTGCATGTTATCCTTTCGCAGGGGCCATGCTAACTTCTCTGTATCGTTCCAATTTTAGTATATGTGCTGCCGAGACGAGCACAAATAATAATTATAGAGTTGCTCAACATCGAGATGGACTGACTTTGGGAATGGTCTCATTCTAAAAGTCCTCATTTTGAGTCTGGGCAACACCTTTTTATACGTTTAGTGTGCACTGGGTTAGAGGCCGAATTAAATGACCACATCCTTTCAATGGCAATAACCGCAATTACTTTTGCACCAACCTACATCTTCTGATAATATTATCAATTAGACACAGCTGTCCAAACAGCCCCTGATCAGCTCTGTTTAGCCACCTAAGCAGGGCTTTGCCCTCATCCTAACAGTTCTAGAATTCAAGTCTTATTTCAAGGCATTCTTCCCACTTCCATATTCCACATGTAAAAAAGAATTCTGTGTTCCTTAATGAGCTTTCAGGTAAGATCTTTAAGCTTTTGAGGTGCACAGCTTTTTGCTTTGAACTAAGATTAAGCATTACAATTAGTAATCACTGCTTGAACTTATGCTAAGAGTACTTTGGAAGCTTTCACAAAGAAATATGTGCTTCTTCCTCTAAAGAAGAAAATACCACACAGAAACAGAGGGAGAGAGGAAAAATACACCCATCCGTGCTGACTGAAAGCTACTTTACATGATCCTCATGTTCGCCCCAGGTTCCCATATATTCACAGCAGTAAAGATTTCCACAAAGTAGAGAGGCCCAACTCCCTTACCATGAAAGCTTTAACGACCAGACAACCCAGAAGTTTGGAAACATAGAACCAGGGAACAGATACTAGAGAGAGGAAAGTATGTATTAAGGCAAGAAAATATCATCACGTTTTCAAGAGCGAGTGCCATTCCAGGAAAGAGGACAGCTTAATACTGAGGTTCAAATGCCACTAAATGAAAATGGGAAAGCAAAGTTCCTGTGTCCTTTCAGTCCAGGAAAACACATTATTCCAAAGCAAACATTAATGCCCATTACATGTCGCAAATCCTGCCTTAGCCATTAGGATACAGTGACGAAAAAGTCTCTCATTATCTAGAAGGGCAGACAAACACGCAGAGACTCTTAAAATACCAGATGACAAGTGCTAACTCAGAGGTAAGCCAAAGAGTACCCAGAAGCGGCAGCACCAACCCACAATCTTCACACGGTCACATCACTTATAATCATAAATTTGTACTCTCCGAGGTGGGTGTATGAAACATGTTATCTGTGAATAAAACAAAATACCAAAACAAAATAAACCCATAAAATAAAAAATAAAAAGACCTACCTCTTTTGACCAGGACAACTACCCCCAGGAAGTAGGTAAGTTTACATTTACGAAAAGTGAGGCTCAAAATACACCGACCAGTCCAAGACAATGCGCACCCCCAGAAACCACCTTCCCCGTCCTCATTTATGCCCAACCGGCAAAACCCCAAGTACAGCCAACCTCGCACTGGCTACGTAACCCTGGCCAAGCTAAACATTAGAAACCTCAGGCTCCCCATCTTTAAAGTATAACAGGTGGTTAGAGGATTGAAAAGATAAACCTTTGGCAGGTCATTGTGGACAGTGTAGCTCAGAAAAATGCTGACTACTGCACTACTATAACTACTGCTATTGTTAAGGATAAACGGTGAAGACTTTACAGGACCCGACCCCTCGCTTACAAGCCTTTCAGGAATTTGCCCTACCTCAAACCCCCGACCCCCGACCCCCGACCCCCGGTGCCCTCAGACTTAATTTCACAGACACGCCCCCAAACAGACCCTCCCCTTTATGGCACCCCCGGCTCCTCCCCCTCAGACAGGCGGCTCTCCTAACAAACCTTACCCCCAGATTCTGCCCTTTCGGACTCTGTTACGGAGGAGGCCTTCCGCTCGCACCGGCCTCTCCAGCACCCCGGTGCGCAGGCCGCACGCTAGACGCGGGCCCGCGCCGGTTACCTGGCCGCACGCTCCCGCTCCGCCCCTTGATTCCCACTAATCGTACCTTGTCGCGGGCTCGGGCCAGCGCTGTGAGCGCACAATTAGTTTAAACTATGGCTCCGCCCCCTCGTGCTGCCCTCTGATTGGCCTCTGTCGGCAGTTGTCTTACGCGGGGCACGCTTAAGGACCCGGGGAAAGGAAGTTTGAGGGCCACTGGGAAAGAGAAGGGGTATCACCGCTTCCGGACCCTGGCCTGGCCTTGAAGGCAAAGAAAACTACAAATACCAGCGCCACCCGCGGCCTTGGAGCTCCGCCCCCCGGTAAGCATAGCGTCAGTTCTCATGGCGCCTGCGGGGTAGTGGCAACGAAAGTAGTTGCCATGGAGTTGCCCTGAGTAACCCTGAGGGACGCCGAGACTGGAGAGGAAGCAACTGCGGGTGAGTCAGTCGGGAATACAGAAAACCCGTTCTAGCAGACTAGAGATCTATGGAGAAGGGAGGGGCACCCACAGAACGACTAAGAACTTCCCTGCTGGGGGATCTGAGATTTCCCCCACCTACCCTCATCCCCTTTCACAGTGAACAAGACACAACACCCACATGTGACAAACTGTGGGGGCAGAGGGAGGGAAAGGCGTTGAGATACAAACCCATACAGATCTGGGAGTGTTTAAGAACCTCCCCCAGGGCCGGACGCGGTGTCTCACGCCTGTAATCCCAACAGTTTGGGAGACCAAAACTGGCGGATCGCTTAAGGCCAGAAGTTCGAGACCAGCCTTAAAAACATGGCGAAACCCCGTCTCTACCAAAAATAACAAAAAATTACCCGGGCTTGGTGGCATACTCTTGTGGCCCCAGCTACTAGGGAGGCTGAGGTAGGAGGATCGCTTGAGCACAGAAATTGAGGCTGCCAGTGAGCCGTGATTGCACCACTACACTCCAGCCTGGGCTACAGAGCAATATCCCCATCTCAAACAAAACAAAAACAAAAACAAAAAAAACAACGAACCTCCGCCCCCAACGCAAACATGAGGCTCCCAAAATCGGATGCTTCAAGTCCCAGGCCTAACCTGGGAGATCAGAAACGCCCTCAGAAATGGCTTTGGTTTTCCTCTGAAGAATTTCAACCCTCTTCCAAAACATGCGATTAGCATTAGATAGAGTAAATCCGCAGTCCCTACCCTAACTCTGGAGATGTAGGAAACTTCCTGGAGCGTGAAGTGCCTCTTTCCTTCCTCCCCCAAGGAGTAAAACCTCTTCTCAATTGACAGGATCATCCCACACTGTTCCCAGATTCCCTTTTCTCCCCACACCTTCTCCATGGTCCGCTACTCAAAGCTCTAGTTAGTTATATTCTTTTTAGTCCTCACAGATCTATTACATTGAGTAACTTACCCAGCGCTTTCACACTCTCTATTGATACTTTTAACAGCTCTGTGAGTCAAGGGTATTTGTCTCCATTTCAGATTGGAAAAACGAAACCCAGAGAAAAGGGACTTGCCCAAGGCCACACACCAAATTAGTGACAAAGCTAGAACTAGACTCCAGACTTGTTCCAAGGAACAAGTTAAACTGCCCCAGGGAAAAGTAACTTGTATGGCCTACTTTGGACTATTTACACTTCAGCCTGAATAAATTTCAGATCCTTCCATGAAAGCTGTAATGGGGAAAAGGAACTAGAGAGACTAAAGACAATGAGACTTGACATTTTTAACTAAACAGGAAACAGGAGGGCTAACACAGCACCCATGTCCGAAGTGACCATGATTAGCTGGTTTTTAGCTGGTGGCTAGCTGGCCCTCATTGGTCCACTTACTACCCTAAAGTTCTCCCAGGCTTGTTCCTATGCCCGCTTGCCACTGCACTCTATATTCTCTTCTTGGGTACTCCTCCACACCCACAACTTCATTTTCCACCTGTATGCAGATGTACACACTGTATGTCTCCAGCCCAGCTCTCATCTCTAAGCTCCAGATCTATATAGCCAATTACCTCCTCAACATCTCCTTTAGGATATCTCAAAGGCAACCCAAACTCTGCATTTCTGAAATTGAAACCAATCTCTATGTACCCCAACCCTTTCCTCCAAGCCTGGATCTCTTTTAGTGCTCCTACCTTTTTCCACAGTAAACACAAGCCCAAAACCCAAGAGTTAATACCTTTTCCATTTACTTAATACCTCTTCCATTTCCCATCTATTATGAAGTCTTATCAGCTTTACTTCTTGAATATATTTTATATAGGTCCTTGCTACCATCACATCCTTCTTGCCTTCCCTTCCAGCCATATTTTCATACTGCAACCAGAGTAATTCTTCAAAATGCAAAGCTGATATTGTTCACTTGCTCCACCCCACCCCCACCTTTTTTTTGAGACGGAGTTTCACTCTTGTTGCCCAGGCTGCAGTGCAATGGCATGATCTCAGCTCACCACAACCTCCACCTCCCTGGTTCAAGCGATTCTCCTGCCTCAGCCTCCCGAGCAGCTGGGATTACAGGCATGTGCCACCACACCCGGCTAATAGTAGAGAAGGGGTTTCTCCATGTTGGTCAGGCTGGTCTCGAATTCCTCACCTCTGTGATCCGCCTGCCTTGGCCTCCCAAAGTGCTGGGATTACAGGCATGGGCCACAGTGGCAGGCCAGCCCCCATTTAATATTAATAGTTTATGGTTTCCTATTGCTCCCATCTCTCCAGCCTCCAGTCTAACCATACATATTCCTCCTCTCCCCTTCAGTTATATAACCTTTAAGGTCTTCAAAATTTCCAAGTACCCTTCCACCATAGACCCTTTGCATATAGCAGTCACATCTGCCTGGAATGCTTATTCCACACAACCCCCCCCACCCCATAAGTTAATTTGTACCTTATCCTTTAGATTTCTCTCAGTCACTTCTTCAGGAATGTCTTCCTAAAGACTGCTCAGACCAGGTCAGATCCCTCAATTACAGCAATCTCATGTCCCTCTGCTTTGTAGTGTTATTTCATTGCAATTTTTAATGTATTTGCTAAGCACCTACTACTTGCCAGCACTATAAGATACAACTGTAAGAAAAACATGGTTCCTGCCCTGGTTGTGTTTATGGACATACAGATAGTAAGCAGATAATTATAGTGTTATGAGTGCTACCATGGCAATCATAACACTATAATTACAGATTTGAGGATAAGGGTATACTTCTTAGAAAAGTTGAAACCTGATCTGAGCCCTGAAGTAAGAATTAGCAAAACAAAAGGAAGGAGAAAACTATATTCCTAGCAGAGAGCGCTGGAAGGAGACACTGTTCCACTTAGGCCCAGCGGCAGGTGGAGAGAACTTAAGGTGAGTAGTTGCATTTCGCTGAACTGCAGAATTGGAGGTGAGGATGGATGGGAGTAGAGGGGGGTGGACAGGAGCCAGGTTGAATCTTGGGCCTCCCTTTGACACCTGGGAATATAACCTAACAGACTATATTAGATTATGTGGCAGATGTTTCTTTTCTTTTGACAGGGTCTTGCTCTGTTGCCTAGACTGGAATGCAGTGGCACGGTCATAGCTCACTGCAGCCCCGAACTCCTGGGCTTGAGCCATCTCCTGCCTCAGCTTCCCAAGTAGCTGGGACTATAGGCGTGAGCTGCTACGCCTGGCTAAATATGTGGCAGATTTATCATAGCATTCTTTTTCTTCCCCGCTCAGTTCATCCTCAGAAACTCTCAGGCTAGGCTATTGAATCTCCTATCAGATTTATGTGATTATTCCTCAAACCTTCCTGTCTTACCATGTTGCAGCTTGCCTGAGAGAGGGCAGGAATAGGCTAGCAACAAATCAAATTCCAATTGTTAGTAATTTCCCAAAACTGAAAACAGTTTTCTGTCAATTTGGAATTGGTTAAATAAAGTTAAATTAAGTAAATAACATTAAAGTATGATACATAGTATACTTTGCAACTATTAAAAAAGGTAAGAGTCTACAACAATTTGAAAATTAAAAAATAGGTTTACGAAGGCATAGAGATTGTTTATTTAAAAATGTACATAATCTAGGCTGGGCACAGTGGCTTACACCTATAATCCTAGCGCTTTGGGAAGCCAAGGTAAGTTAATGGCTTGAGCCCAGGAGTTCAAGACCAGTCTAAGCAACAGGGTAAAACCCTGTCTCTACAAAAAATACAAAAGCTAGCAGGGCATGGTGACATGTTCCTGTAGTCCCAGCTACCTGAGAGGCTGAGGTAGGAGGACTGCCTCAGCCCAGGGAGGCAGAGGTTGCAGTGAGCCGAGATGGCACCATTGCACTCTGGCCTGGGCAACAGAGTGAGACCTTGTCTCAAACCAAAAGAGAAA